TTTCCTCCTTTCATGCTTGCAGCGGGGGTCCCCGACGAAGGCGGTCGGCCTGTACAAGGCGGTCGGCCTATATAAGGCGGGTGAAATCGGTTGGCACAGACCGGACGATAACGTTGTTCCACAAATTGAGTACAAGGGCTGTCCCAAGAGGGCGGTCATTATCAGCTGCCCGACCCCCACCGCATTATCTGGGGACCCCCACTGCGCTAGTAACTCTCATGTTTTCGTTGTATTTCCTCACTTGTTCTCGGGCTTGTTCTGCTCGATCAGCAGAAAACGCACTTTCCCGAGGTGTCGGACATTTACGCCGTGCCTGCGAAAACAAGAGCACACCAAAACCAGTCGAGTTAAAAATGGTCAGTTTTTTGCCAGACCATTTGATGGAGACCGAACAGACCAACCGAAAATGAACGTTTTCGCCTTTCGCAAGCCTTAGAAAGCTCGACAGCTTCGCACCCCGGGATAGAAAAAAATACAAAATGCCCACGAAGAGAGGGGCGGGGGCTCCGGAAGGCACGTAGAAGCACTTCGCGGCGGAGCTCGACGCCCTCGGCCTCTTCTGTACCTCATCAATATACCACATCCTGACCTCCACATGTGCATCTCTTCGTCCTCGACACACGTTGGGGAGTGTACCCATGTAAGGGGATGTCCACAATCTGCGCTATTCATAATGAAACAACCCGTTGGCGCCATCGTTCGGCCTGTTCGGCGCGCCATCTTTGATTCGCTACTGAGTAGCTACCGGCCCAGGGATCGCCACCATGCAGATAAATTCTTCCACCATTACGTGCATGGCGTCGACCTTCCATGGGAACTGCATGTCATCAAAAGGGGTGCTGAAAGATGAACAACAAGGCTCAACGCCAGCCGCGACATCTTCCAGCCCACACCGCTGACTCGAAGAGACCACCGAACCATAAAGCCGACCCGTCTAGACGCTATGAGCCCAGCAAACCAAAAAAAAAAAAACTGTACAAAGCAGTCTATAACGCCTGTTGCATTGTTTCACCTGTGGAGCTCCACATCGAGGTGGAGTGTTTTCTGGAAATCTTGGGGAAGGCTCGTCAGCTTTTCCACCACGTTGGGCACCGCAACCTCGAGCATTGCCGAGGTCGCATCGTGGATCTGCGGGACCGAACCGGCACGACATGGTCGGATAAATGGACCGCCCGTCGAAAAAATACAAGGATCCGTGTAAGGACGGCCACATGTTAAACCTCAAGACATGTGATCTTCAACCCTTCCAAAGCCTTCTCGCCTCTCCTTGACAAGCGCGCAGACTCTACCAAAACGCACACACACACATGGACGGGTGGGGGTCAACCTCAACCTCGCCGCACCGCCATGACTACTACCAAAACACAACCAACAAACCCATCACTCATCAACACAACAACTGTCTCCCGGTGCCGGGCACCACTACCCCCCATCACCAGCCAAGAGAACAACGACGACCAACAACAACCACCGTTCGCCGGCTCGAAGAAGGGGTCAACCCAGTTCGCGAAAGAGAAAAAGCACGGTGCTATCGAGCCACCATTAAACTTCTACCCCAAGCTTAGGAATACCCCCCCGCCCCGCTGGTGTTTGCCATCGGGGTTGGGTTTTCGTCGCTTGGCAACGATGTTGTAAAACGAGCTACCCCCCCGGTGTTTGCCATCTGGGTTGGGTTTTCGTCGCTTGGCAACGATGTTGTAAAACGAGCTACCCCCCCGGTGTTTGCCATCTGGGTTGGGTTTTCGTCGCTGGCAATGACGTTGTAAAACAAGCCGATCACTTGGTGCGCTCGGCAACCAGGTTACCGATGTTTTTTTTGCCTCGTTGTTCTTCTTGCGGTAACCATGCATGGTGGTCGAGTAGATTTTGTTGTGCGGGGTCGAGAACCCTCACTCCGCGCAAAGGGGTTCATCGCACCACGTTGTGTTCAAATTGGCCAAGCACTCTCGAGGCAGTTACACAGTGCTTACAACTGTCTCTGGAAGTGAAAGCAC